GAAATTGAGACCATTTATCTTGGCTTGGGTATGAGGAATGATCTGGTCTTTTCAATATTCACATCAGACTTGGGACAACTGAATTTTGATTTCTTAGGCCATCATTGTCATGCAAAACCAAGTGTTGCAGATTATAGTAATTACCAAGTATGCAGCTGATGCTGTTCTTTGGGTGCAGCAAACTTGCCTCACAGGTTTTTGTACTGTGAATGCAAGTGCATGAAAACTCGTAAGTTGGGTTGGAAATGTGTTGTAATAAAGACTAGCTAAGGCCTATGCTATTTTATTTTCTTTTTTGAAAAAAACACACTCTTCCTGAATTCTCCCCTGCTTCATCTTGGAAGAATGATTTTGCCTTCACCAAAGCACTGGTGGAAGAATGCCAGACTGGTCTCATGTCCATCTGAACGTCTGTGTCCTTGATAGGTGCACATGCTTCTGTCCTGTCAGGGTCAGGTTGCTTGTTAAACACTGTTATACTGGTTTGTTTTCTTAGACTTCAACTTTTGCTGACTCGTGCTCCTTTTCCCCAAAGGATGTTCTCTGCACCTCTCCCGTGGCCTAGTTTATCAGAAAGCCACCTGTTTTCAAGTGTGTGGCACTGACAGCTGCCATGACAGCACAGTGGAATTCCTCTGTGTGCTCCCTCACTTCCAGTGTTTGTGTTGTGCCCCCTTAACTTACAAAGGGAGAAAAAAATGTGCCTGAGAAGTGGAATATTTTGTTGTGTTGCTCTAGAACTGGCAGTGTCAGGACTGCTAAGTGTGTGTTTCCTCTCTTACAGTGGATCCAGAGGATCTGTACATTGTAGAACCTCTGAAGTTTTCCCCAGAGAAGAAGGTACAGTGGGGTGGGAGGGCTGGCGGGGCTGAGGTGGTTGTGCTGGCAGATGACTGAAGGCGTGTCTTGGCTGCTCTGCTTCCCTTCCAGAACCTCACTGTTTCTTTTTTTCATTTGTGATTTCAGAAAAAGCGTTGCAAATACAAAAGTGAAAAGCCAGAGACTGTTAAGCCGACAACAGAGCCTGTGCATCCCATAGCCAACGGGGAAATCAAAGGAAGGAAGCCCTTCACAAACCAGAGGGACTTCTCTAACATTGGGGAAGTTTATCACTCTTCATATAAGGGCCCCCCATCCGAAGGAAGCTCCGAAACGTCATCACAGTCTGAGGAGTCCTATTTTTGTGGCATTTCAGCGTGTACGAGTCTGTGCAATGGACAGACCCAAAAGACAAAAACTGAGAAGAGGGCTATAAAGCGAAGACGGTCTAAAGTTTCAGACCAAGGGAAGCTCATAAAAACTCTAATACAGACTAAGTCGGGGTCAATGCCAAGCCTGCATGACATAATCAAAGGAAACAAAGATATAACAGTGGGAACACTTGGTGTCACGACAGTGTCTGGACACATCTAAAACTAGCTGAACTTCTCAAACAGGAGAGTGTTTGTTCATTTGAGAACAGTCTGTGGTATTCTGTGGGAGGATAGTGGGAGACAAAGAGCTCAACTAATTGGAAAGTATTCAGAAATTTGGTTTCTGCCTTTTTAAAATAGATGGGATTGTGTCAATCTTGGCTATAAGCTGCAGCTTTACAAGGCTGATAATTTCCTATGAGAACAGCTTGGGGGGAGGGAGGGCAGGGTTCATTTTATAAAGGTTTTTTTTCACAGTTCCTGGGACAGAGATTTTTTGAAACCCAGTTTGTTGGGTGGAATAGGGATAAAAGCCTAATCCTCTTCCTTTAGCTTTGTTCCTATTTCTTGCACCTTCCCATATTTATGTGCCTTTTGTCTATTTATAATGCCACTGGAAGAGGGGAGATACAATTGTTTGTCATTTGATTTATTTTGTAATTTCTCTAGCTTTTTTTGAAGATGCAACACTACAGTGCTGTAAAGGGACATGTGTTGGCCTTCAGCTGGACTCGGTAATGTGGACTGGATACTGTAAAAATACCAATAGATGGACTTGCCTGACTAGATTCTGGTTTTGCAAACTCTGAGGAAAATATGTCACCAGGGTTGGTTGGTAACTGTGTTTATTTGCACCCTCAGTCACAAATGTGAGCTGTGGTCTGTGCAAAATCAGTGATGGTGGCTCTCCAGGATTTCCCGTGTGCAGTGGAACCTGAGGCTGATGAATGCATTTGTCATCTCAATGGCCTGCTGCAGTTCTCTGAAGGAAGTGGATGAAGAATGCTCACTGTTGTGCTGAGTTCAGTGAAAGCTCAGCTGAAGAACGGGAGGGTGAGCCTGGCACAGCTGGGCCATTCTCTGAGCTGGTCTGGGTGCGCTGAGTTTGCAAAGCCTTGGAGTCTGAGCAGTCGGGCTGGTTCACTGCGGGTATTTCCATAACGTTTGCTTTTGTATTGGCTAACAAATGTGCAGTGTTGGTATGGTTGGTATTTCATATTCAAGTGTTTTTTTATTTTGACTGTGATTGTATATTTGGATACTATAGGATGTGTGGTTGCTAAAATGTTGTGTGATTCTGAATGAGTGGAACAAAAGGTTATTCCTTTTGACAGGTGTTACAGGTTCACGTTGTACAAAATAAGTTAACTTATTGAGCACTTTTAGTGGTACCCTTTTTAACAGATCTAATGCCTTTCCTGGGTATTGTATGTAATGTGACTTATTTAAAGACTTTGTTTTTTTTGCTGCTTTCTTGTTAGTTTTTGAATACTTTAAAGTGATGTACTTTCAGAGTTGATCTGCACAATTAGCCAGTCAGAGCACATGAACCAGACATGTTGAACCTGAATTCAGAAGGGTGTCAAACCTGGATTAGGAAAATACATACCACCAGAGTGCAGCATCCAATGTTGTGGAACAAGAGTATGTAACTACAGAGCTGTAGTGCCATTAGAAACTGTGAATTTCCAAATAAATCTGAACACTTTGTCTTTCATTTACTGGCATTTTTCCTTTGAAAATGAAACTTGTGGCTTAAATTGTCTGAGAAGGGCTATTCTTTAATTTTCAGTCTAGGACTAGGACTGGGGTCCTTTGGCCCTAGTAAGAAGTTCATAAACTCAGCCCAGATGTGTTTGTCTATTTAAAGAAAGAAAAGGGGGAGGTGAATTCTGAAGGCCAAGTTGTGCTTTGTCTGAAAATTCAGGAATTGTGGCCCTGTGAAGCTGCTGGATAAATTTCCAGCAGGTCTGTTCACACCTTGCCCAGGAGGATCCCTGGGTGTGGTGGCTTTCTGTGAGAAGGACTGCATGAAATGACCTCTTGGTACTCAGAGCTAAGGTTTGTGAAAGATATAAAAGACCCTGAAAGGAAAAGATTAGGGAGTCGTTTATTATTTCAAACCAGAGTTTTCAGCTTGATTTGCCCCTTACTGGTCCTCCCCTCCTAACTTATTTCTGTCAAGCACAGCAGCACTGCGTGCAGCCAAATGCTGGATTCACAGGCTCTCCAGCACTGATTTTTTCACTTGAGTATCTCAAGACTCTCTGCTTCATCATAGCACTGTTATTTAAAAAGCAATTTAGTGAGAGTTTTGCTGGGGGGGGGAGGTTGGATGGGGAGAGTGGCTGTTTTTTTGGGGGGAAGGTGTGGACTTCTTTTATTTACTCCTTTCTCTTAATATGTCACTTGTAGGAAACTGTGTACCTTCATTGCCCAGGCAACCACTGGGCTCTTCTCTTCAGTAAGAGTCGCCTGAAACTGGACATGTCTGAATTCTTAAAACAGCCCATCTTTACTCTCTGGCTATGAACCAAAGACTGGCAGGTATATACTAGGCTGATAAATGTAGAATGAAACTGCCCATTTGTTATGACCCGCCCAGAAGAGGAGGGTAACCCAGGTTCTTGTAAATAAATCATTTGGGGTGGATTAGAGTGAAACAACACTAAATAGTTGGTGTTTGTAAACATATATATATATATATGTTATATATGTAACATATATATATGTAGGGTTTATTTTAGAACAATTTTGTTTCAAAGGTAAACAAGTTTGTTGCCATTTTGGGTGCCAACATCTATAGTGATGCAGCAATATTAAAGCATAGCAACATTAAGGCATAAAAATAACACTTAAGAAAATGTGTAAGGGAGAGAAAGGGAAAGAAAGGATAAGGGTCCAAATATATAAATACATATATATAGTCACAACCCACTGGATGCAGCAATGAAACTTGATAGTTGCAGCTTCCATGTCTGTTGGTTGAGGTGGTGGTCTTGATCCATTGGGGCAGGGGGAAGCTCCCCCCCCCCCAAACCTCAAAGACTTCATGAGTTGTTATTATGCACTTCAAGCTCAGGTGGGAATGCCTTGTACTTCCTCTGGGGTGGGGAGTTGTTCAGTGGATCATGTCATGGGACATGTCACCAGTCTTGGATGCTCCCCAGAGAGGTCTTCACAGCAGAGCCATCGTGTAAGGGAGGACATTGGCATGATAAAAAGGATTATCCTGCTTCTGCAGGATTTGCCTCTTCTTTTTTCTGGGAATCCAGTTTGTAGCTTCAGGTAGGGGGTAGTTGGACCATAGCACCCACTTGTCTCATCTGAAGGTCCTTTCCCAGTAGCAGTAGCATGTTCAGGGAGGGGGAGGCTTTGCTGGTTGTGCAGCTGTTTCTTTTCAGTTTGCTACAGTGGACAAAAGTCTTTTGGTGATCTTACATTGACTATTTCAGTCTGACAATGTTGAAATTCCAAGCACATGTTCACATTTCCAAGTTAACAGTTTCAGATGTCAAACCAAATGCCTTCTAAACCAATCCTTTAATACCCTGTGCTCTCTGTACATTTTAAGCACTGGGCATGACTTAGATCTAAGGAGTTGCCGCATTCTGTGGAAGAATGAACAGGAAATGTGCCATGGGAATAACACATCTGAAGGAACCTACAGAGCTGATTGTGCTTTTGCAGATTCGAGAGTGTGTGCTCTGGCAGGAGACTGGAGATTGAACCACAGCTTCCACCTTCTGCTGACTTCCTGCTTTTAAGTATCTGTAACCACTGTTTTAAAAAAAGGACTCTCAACATCACGTTTTTACTGCTTAATGCTGTCCTTTCATGTGGGCTCTTGAGTAATTTTTTACTTTCAGTTGTATTAATGTCATGCAATCTAGCTTTCAAAATTTGATTCTTTGGTGGAATCAGGTCTCTCAAATTGGTTATAATCTTCATATAGGGAATAATAGTTTCTAATGAAGACAATCTTTAAATCTGAATTAATTCCTCTGATGGTGTGGATACTTAAATGGGGGGGCCTAGTCCATCTTGTGATATTACATACTGAGATTGGACAGCTGCTGATGTAAAATACCAAGAAGCCAGTGTGTGTGTGTTGAGTGAGGATGGTGTCCTTCAGACCTTGGGCAGGTCTGGAGCCCATGATCAAAAAATATCTACAGAATGCAGAGGTTTCCTCAGGGGGATGGATAGTCACGAACATACACCTTGTGTAAGTGAATTACCAGCTGTGGTTGCCAGAAGAAGGCATTTAGGTTATATACATTAAGTATCAGAGAGGAAAACCAATATTTTCTAAATATGCAAACTCTACCAGTGGTTTGGTGTTGTAAGTAGAGAACTCAAGTCTGAGGTGTCTCTGTGTGGCTTCTGCTTTCTCCAAGTTACAGCACGAGATGAAGCAAGATGGAACAGCTTAGCATGCTTTGCTTAACTGGGTACAAACATGTTCCACTTGATCTGGAACAATTAAAGTGTAGAGCCCTGACCACAAACTGCTGTGAGCAGGCACCGGGTGGCTCATCTGGAAACCCAAAGTGTCAAACAGCACTGGGTGCTGCAGGAGACATCGCTGTGGTTTGTGAGAGCTCAAAGATAATGTGTCCCCAGAGCTTGTCTAGAGAAAATGCTTTAGTTTAGAAAAGGGTGCTGAAATGAATCTTTCTTATTATCCCTTCTCTAATATAAGGATAGTAATTTTGAAAGAAGTTTCCAAGGAGCTTTCTGTTGCCTTGCTACTGTCTCACATTGGACACATGGCCTGGGAGCTGCAACTGGTCTCACCTGTGCTGCTTTCCAGTGGCATCACCCAGTAACTCCCTCATCAGCAGTACAGCTTTTGGTAGGGAATGGAGAGGAAGTTAGTTCTGCACTTTGTGGACCTAGAGATGGAAAATGTTTGCCACCCTGAGGCTTGTTTTTCCTTTGTTAGATGTGGTCAGAGCCTACATCCAGCTGCCAGGCCCTCCACAAGCTTGCAGCAAACAAGAATCCCTGTCTATTTCTTTTCTCCCAGAAAAATAACTTAAAGCAGGTAATGAATCTTCTGTTAGTCATAATTTGACACAGTTACTACTGGAACGTCAAGGTTGTGTAGACTGTAGCTCAATGTTAAATCCCAGGAAAGTCAGCTGAAGGTCCCTTGGGGTTTTGGGAAGTCAGCTGATATCTGTGCTGTGTAATGAGGTGGACACACCTGGTGCTGGGCTCTCTGTCACAAAACCAATGCTGGAGGACCTGAATTTGCTGAGTGACCTGGAGCTGAGGTGTGATCCTGGTGGACTGGGTGAAGATCTCAAGGTAGATCTTGGGGGATTTTGTTGTTTTTTTGTTGTTGCTGGTTGGCTGGTCTGGGGTATTTTGTTTGGTTGGTTTTTTTATGGGCTGAGGCTGCTCCCAAGAAAACAAAATTGTCAAATACCAACTAGGCCACATTGACCAGCAGAGCCAGCTGGTGTTTGCCAAGGCAAAGCCTGGCATTGTGCTGAGAACCTGGAGCAGGGCACAGATCCTGCTGAAGAGCTTGTGAATGCAGTTCTCAGCTGTCACTGGGGAGGAGATGGGAAATCAGCATCTGCACATTCTCCTTGGGTCTTCCTCACAACCTCTGAGCGACCACAGCACCTCATTACATTTTCTCCCATGACTAAGCTATTGTATCATATGAAATGACCTGCTTCTGTTTCTCAGAATAGATCCTGTTACCTCATAACCACTATACCTCATTTCCTTGTTCAAAAGAAATGAAAGCAGCAGAGTAATATTTTAATTATTCCTCTCTTTTTCTCAGCTGTTTCGACTCCTTGGATTCTCTCCCACCTCGGGACAGAGCCCTGTACCTCTTTTGCTGAATTCAGGGCTGTTGTCTGCTTGTTGGGATCACGGTGAAGGAGAGGACAAAGCCCCTTGCTCACTGGAAGAGGGACATATTAAGCACTGCAGCACCAGTCCTGAGCTGTTAGCAATGGATTTTGAAACCTGCTCAAGTGTGAATATCTGAATGTCCCCTGTATGAGCTGTTGGCACCAAGACATGGCTTTACACGTTCTGTAAATGCTTCTAGCAAGGAGAGCAGTCACTGAGGAAATGAAAAGTATCAACCTCATTTGGGAAACCAAACTGTTAAAAAAGCACGTAATAAAGAACAGACCCAAAGATGTCAGCACCAACTGCAAAGGCTGGGTGAGTTCAAATGTCTTCCATGCCTCTCCAAGGCTTGAGTAGATGAAGATCCTGTCCCTTTGGAGGTAGCTCTTACAAGAATCCATGCTAATGTCCAGTCAAAAATCCATGTCCTTTTTTTTTTTTGTTGGAACTCCTTCAGCTGTGGCTCCCTGGGAAGGTTTTTATTCTGTGAGATTCAAGAGCACTCTGCTGCTGGAAATCATCCTTCTTTGTACAGGTTTTCCACACACTGTCCATCCCTCCCTGCCAATCTACTCTTCAATGCACAGAGTTGAATCCCTTTGCTGTCCAGCAGTTACTGCAACTTCTTCCAGAGCCTCTCCAAAGTTGAACATAGACTTGGGAGTGGGTTCCAGGACTGTCTGTAGCTGTCTGGTGCTGTATGTGAGCTCTCGTGGGGGAACTTATGGGAACCCGTGGGCTTTCCCTACTGGGAGCTCATGTCCATCTGAGGAGCCTCAGTTTCAGAGTTGTTTTCTTTCTAATATGATATTTTCTACCTAAAGAGCTTGATTTGAAGTCTTTGTTTTTAGCCTTTTCTTCTGACGCAATTCCCTGTCCTCATGGTTTTGAATACTGTTTTTTGAATGCGAATGAGTCTCAACTTCCTCAGTTCTTGGGTGTAATTTATGCAGGCCTGTGGGCTTTCAGGAGTTGCTTTTTGGCATTTCCACTAGTCATTAGCGTAATAGGAAACATTTGTTAATCGCTTTCAGACAGACTGTGTTCAAAACATGATGAGAGCTTCTCCTACACAGAGGTTCACACTTAAGTCAGTTTTGGTTTATCTTCTGTCAAGTGTTAGATCTGGATCATTGTTCAAGTCCTGCTTTCTTTGGGATATTTCAGGCAAGTCATCCTTTTGTCCCCAAATCTGCTGATACAAACTTGTAGCTGCTGGCTGATTCTCTGCTGTCAACATAAACTTTAGTACAATTGTGTGTATTGTTAGTAAAAGCTCCCATGTCTCCTCTGGGGGTGAAGGTGGGGATGGAGAGTGTTCTTCTGAGCAAATCCTTTTCTTCAGACTGTGTCATGTTTTTTGTTGGTTTGGCAAAGGGGGACAATTCTCTGATAAAGGCTCTGGAAGGTGTTTCCCTTTGAAAATACTCTTTTCTGTTCAAATGACATAATAAGGCTGCTGGAAACAGAGTGTGCGTCTTGCAGACTGACTGAAGAGGAGGATAAGGAGGCAGATGGAAAAATCTGATACCCTTTTTGTCCTTCTTATGCCCTCCTTTCCTGCCTAACTGTCCTTGTCCCATATTTTAGGAGGGCTTAACCTTGTCTAAATCAACGCCAACTGCTCTGTGACTGTCATCTTGGTGATATCTCAAGCTGGTGACAAGGAAAACGGAGTGTGACAGCAGCACCAGCACAGTACAGTGTGTGAGGAAGGGAGAGGTCCCTGAAAGAATGTTGTGCACCAAATACAGTCCTTTGCTGGTAAAATATCCGTGATCATTGGCTTGCCATGACGTGATATTAGCAGGCTCTTGACTGGAGCATTCAAAAGCAAAGATGCAGCTGAAATGGCTTTAGCTGCTTTCATTGTCTCTCCCTCTCACCCACCAATTAAAAAAGCATCTTTGTGAAAATAGGAAGCAGTGGGTGAGAAATAAGAACCCTTCTGACATTTAAGGGAGACTGCTACTGTGCCCTCAGTCCCACCGGGATAAGATGTTGGCATTAAACACGGTGTCAGGGAAGAACTTGGGAATGGATCCTCTCTAGGCAAAGCCACTGTGTGAAACTCTCTTGTAATGGTCATGGGAGTGGATGGGGACCTGTCCTTGGGCTGGCTGGGGAATGCTGCTCTGGAGTGCTGAGAGAGGGTAGGCATAACCCAGCTTGAACTGTTGGAGTTGGATTTGTGTCGCTTTGTGTCTTATGTCAGAAACCTAGAAGCGCAAGCAAGAGCCAGATGGGGTTGTTGAAACCTCTTTTGCTGCACATCGCTGCTGCAGCAAAGGGCTGTGGTGAACATCTTCAAAAAGCAGTGGGGTGTCTGGTGGTGCAGGCATGGCTTTGACAGCACATTTGATTTATTGGTGTGGTTGGAGGCAGAGCTGAGCCCTTGCTTTGGAGAAACAAGTGTACATACGTTATTCAAGTGTGCTCTTCTCAGATCCCAGTTTTGATGTTCAAGATCAAAGCCTGTGTATTGGGATCGCTTCCTTCAGCCACAAATCTCCAGTTTGTTCTTGTATCAAGCATTTTAGTTTTTTAACACTACTATACAAATACACACTTCTGTAAAATGCCAGAACAAACTATTTATAATCAGTTGTGTGCACCTGTAAATCTTCAGGAAAATCTCATTGTCACCACTCAGAAATCTGCAGTCAATGAGGAATGGAAATGTCCCTGTCTCTCTTCATTAGGGTTTTGTAATGAGCTCTTATAAGTGCTGGTCCTTGCAGCATAGCCTGGATTCTGGATGATTTCTTGAAGGGCAAGAGAAATTGTACTCAGATGAGTGGCACTATGTCTGCCCCTGGCTTTAGTCAGGAGATACCCAGCCAGGTTTGATCCTGCTGCAGTGCTCAGCACTGACCTGGAGAGATCATGAAAAAGCCCTTCCCTCTGTGAGGCTTCTTCAGGTTAGAAAAGGACTGTGGGATTGGAGATAGTATTTGCAAAGGTATGAGGGGCAGCAGAAGCTGCCAGAAGAGCCTGCTTGTGCCCCAAGGCACTGTGTGTTCCCCATATTACAACAGTCCCCTAGTTCAGCCTGGCTGGTGCCCCGGTGGATCAGTGGGGGTGAGGGCAGCCCACCGAGCTCTGCTTGGGCTGGTAATGCTGGGGCAGCTCTGTTCGGGCTGCAGCACTCACTGTGTCCCTCTTCTGACTTAGATTGGTTTTTATCACAGTGGGATGGTGTCTGTGACCGTGTTCTGTGACTCAGGATCCATGCCCTGTGAAGCAGCCAAGGAAAAGGTCGGATGCAAAACGGACAGTGGTAAGGAATTTGTCCTGTGTGAAACGAAGTGAGTCCCCAGCACTCACAGCTGCACTTGGCATTGGTTTCTCATCCTTTTGCTGAGGGCAGAAATCTTAAGCTCTGTCTCTGCCCTCTGCCAGAGGTTTTGTCGTTCCTTTTGCATTGCTTGTGGTCTAGGACACCTCAGTGGAAAAGCAGCTGCCTCTGTCCGAGTGGGCTGCTGGAAAGAGTGGCTGGTGGTGGGTACGAGCTATTACTCAGCCCCGGACTGGCAGCGCAGCCCTCGTACCTCCTGCCCGTGGCTGCGGGATCGCGTTCGGCTCCCGAGCCCCGCGGGCTGGTCCCGCTGCCTCGCGGGGGAGGAGCAGGTTCGTGCCCCGAGCCTGCAGCCGAGGGCGGAAGCTCTTTGGGGTTTGCTGTCGGTGCTTGAGGCTTTCAGAGAGTCGCAGCATCTGAGCCGGGTGTTCACCGGATGCAGGGATGCAGGCGTACAAAGGCAGAGCTGGGTGCTCCCCCAGGGCTCAGGCTGGGACAACCCCTGCGGCTTTTGGCTGCCATATGGAGGACCACACCAAGCGTGTCCAGCCCATCCCGCTCCCGGCCATGCAGCAGAACTTGAACTACACGTACCCCCAGATTTTTTGGGTGGACGGCTGTGCTGAAGCAAGTACTTCCTGCCCCTCGGCACCCCCTGTTGCTCCTTTCCCACCACCAGTACCGGACCGGAGGAAAAAGCCAGGGAAAAACAGGGAAAGGAGGGGCTTCGACTTCCTGGTGATCTACTTGCTGCTCCTGCTGGCCTTCGCTGGAGTGGGGCTGAGCATGTTTCGGATTTTTCAACTGGAGAAAGAACTGGCTGAACTCAGAGAGGTGAGGTTTGCCTGGCTGGTCACATGTGCCTGGGGAAACAGGGAAAAGGAAAAACTTGAAATTGTGTCTGAAATGCTCAGGTGGTGCAAAGCTCCCCAAGGGACAGGATGGTGCTACTTCAGTGTCTGTCGTGACAGAGTAAGTGGGGTTGCTTATTACTGTGAGGAACTGCTCGTTTGGTGACTGATGTATCTGGATGTCTTCGTGTTCCTGAGTGCTGTGAGGTCTCTCCCTGTATATTTCTTAGCACTTTACAGCTCCCCGTGAGCACCCAGAATTTACACTGTCAAAGACAGTCTTTGGCTGCTTATGCTCTCACTCTAAGACAGTGTCACTCTTCTCTTTTGACAGTCTGCCAGCGCTGAACACATCCCTCCAGCTCTGGAGAAACTCATAGGTGAGTTGATGTACTTGGAGGAGGAACTCCTGTGTTAGCAGGTGTGAGTGTTCCTGTCAGACTCTTTCCTCTCCTCATCAGAGGTCACAGCTTGATGCTCTGAGAGTGCTGATTTCTCTTGCTTGACTGGACAAAGAGCTTTATCTCAGGGCTGTGGGGATGTGGTCCTGCAACCTCCCCACTGAACTGCTCAGAGGTGTCAGCCACAGGGTTCTGGGACAGTGTGACAATCCTGGGGCCTCCCATTCCCAGTGTGACAATGGTACTGGGAGTACTCTGCTGTGAAAGAGAATCTGGCTGCCCTGACACAGAGCAACAACATGAATGGAAGGAGGAGAGAGGAGATGGGCACTGCACATGTTATTTCTTTCTCTCCTTACTCTTAGAAGATTCTGGGAGGAAGTAGAGGAGTCTGTTTTGTTTGGAGTGAGGAATTAACTCCCACCCTTGAAAGCACACCTTATTTTTTCCTAAATTCTTTTGGTACAAAGCTAGTTGAGAAATGTTTGATTATATGTAGAGTGCTTTTTCTCTTAGAAATGTAATTTCAGTGAAATTGAAACTTTCCGCAAGAACCTGACAATTTTTCTAGATTTCACTTACGAAAAAAGAGAGTTTCAATTTCAATGGAACAATTTAAAAATCATATTTTGAACTTCCCAACTATTATTTTTTCATTTGCATTCCATGTTAATGTTGTCAGTGAGGATATCCTTCGTAATGATGGCCAAGTCTTAAAGAGCTTTTCAGCTCTCTTGACAATTTTTGCTAGATTTGAAAGGTTTTATTTTATTTTCTCCCTTTGGGGATTTTGGTTAGTAGAAAAGTTAATTTCTTTCCAAATGTGTTCTGATACTGAACGCAAACAAATTTGGAAATAGCAAAATTCTCTGGAAAGGGCAGTCCTGATTCCCATCAACTCCCATATCAATAAATTTTCCACTTTAGGGGAAGAGGAACTGGCATTTTAACTGGATGCTCAGTGCTCTGACCGAAAGCTTCTTTAGCAGAAGCCAAACAAAAGTAGTAACCCTGAATTTCTTGAGGGGGTGGATAAATAAATAGAAACAGGGAAATAGTGTAAAGAAGAAGAGGGAGAGGATAGAAAAATTTAAGTGGCTTGAAGAAAGAATAGGCTGCTTCTAAAATTAGAGGACACGAAGTAGATGCTGATAAGAAGGGAAGGATGAAGTGGGTGAGATCCACATACTGAGTTGGTGTAACTGGCCCAAATGTCCAAGGGAAGCCGAGGCCCCCAGGAAAGGCAGAGTTTTCCCAGCTGTGCTCTGCCTCCCTGAGGACAGGGTCTGCCTGACCAGAGGGGTGGTTTGCAGGGTCTCAAGTGAGAGCTTTGTGGCTGGCTCCCTTCTGCTCTCTGGGCACATGGCTAATGTCTTCTCTATTTTTGTGCAGGGCAGAAGGAGTCAATGAAAAAAGAAGAAAGAAAGGCAGCACACTTAACAGGTATGTGCTGAGGGACCAGCAGGATTTGGGAGCAGGGGATAGGGCAGATGTGATGGGGGTGAGAGGGTGTCATGGTTGTAGTTGTGAAGAGCCCACCTCACACAGGCCTTCCTATTTTCCTTGGAAAACGTGCTCTGACAATGGAAAGTTGCTCCACAGATAAAATCTCCCCCTCATTCAGACTTCTCAGTGAGGCCTGTTTTTGGCTTGCCTCTGGGGGGTGTGGGGCAGAAGCTGTCACAAGGGGCTGGCGTTGGTGAGGTGCCAGGTCAGGGTGGGCTGCAGTCAAGGGCTTGGAGAATGGTAGACTTGTGATGTGGGGTGTGACTTGAGGGGAAAAAACCACACAACTGTTGTACTTTACCACCCTTTTTTTTTCCTTCTCGTTTCGCCTTCCAGGCAGCCCATCCCAGCAGGGCCTCCCTCTAGAGTGGGAGCCCATCTCTGGCCATGCCTACACCAGTGACATTCAGTACCGCGACCGGGGGCTTGTCATCAATGAGACCGGGCTGTACTTTGTGTACTCCAACGTGCTGTTCCGGGGCAATGTCTGCGATAACCAGGTGCTCACACACATTGTCTACAAGAGAAACCCGAGCTCCCCGGGCAGCTACGTGCTGATGGAGGACAAAGGCATCAACTACTGCACGGGCCACAGGACGTGGGCCCGGAAAAGCAACCTGGGGGCTCTGTTCAGTCTCAGGAAGATGGACAGCGTGCACGTCAACGTCTCCAAAATCGCTCTGGTTAATTTTGAGGAATCCAAGACTTTCTTTGGCTTGTTTAAGCTTTGAAATGGAGTGTGGCCAGCAGCCCCCCTCACACACAGACTAGGATGTGAGGGCTGCCTGAGTGCAGTGGCCAAACCAGGGTCACACACCACGAAACTCACCAAGAAACCATGTTTTGGCCTTCAGTGTGAGAGGGTTCAAGCCACTGGCAAAGGCTTGAAAGCAGACACCTGGGAAGCACCAGAGCTGTACTGTGTCAACCTGAAGATAATTGCACATGTTCTCCTTACCAAGAAACCCCCAACAAACTCAAAATGCAATGTGCTGAAGACCCCATTGAAACTCACTACTTGCTACCTGAGAAGAGGCTGGGCCCTGCAGCCCCACATGGTGCCATGGCCCTGGTGAGCTTGGGCCAGCAGGGACAGCTGGTGGGCATTATGAAGGTCCCTTGAGCCAGGACTGCAAGTGCCTGGGTTGTGCCACACTGCAGGGAGTGGTGTGGGAATGGGCAGTGCCAACAACTGCTCACCCCGGGCCATGGGTGCCCACCCTGCCTGGGCACAGGGCTCTGTGCCTGCTGTCTGACAGGCACCTGCCTGCAAGCTGGGCTGTTACACTTGGTATGTTCATTTTGTGTTTAGTTATCGAACTGTTCCCATCCCAGAAAATGCTCCTCAACCCCTTTATTTAACTCATCCCAACTGCCTTGCAAGGAACATGCCAGAAGTAGTGGTGGCATGAAGGGGGTCCTCACCCTGGAGTGGAACCATGACCACCCTGTGGGGATGGGGCTGGTGGGGAGGCCATGTGCTGACAGGATCTGAACAGCAGGGCAGTGAGACTTAAAGTGAAAGCAGCATTTCCAACCCCCCCTCCTGCCCTTTCAGTATGTGAGGATCCTCTGTGGAGAGCTGGTCTGCCACCCCTTTCATGATGCATGTGGTGACATGCTAGCATCTATCCATGGCATGGCTTCAGCTGGCCCCCTTGTCATAAGATGTTCTCTCCTGAGCAAAACACAGATGGTAAATAAAGATATATTTTTCTAGTAAGTGACACTGTCCTCTCCTCATTTGGTGCAACAGGCTTCTGCAATGGCCAAAACACTGAAGGCCTCTGTGATCAGGGTCCAGCACCTTGTTCCTTCTCCAGCAGCATGGCAGAAATCTGGGAGCCTCATCCCACTTCACTGCCTGCTTGACACTGCACAGGATCCCTTCCATGGAGCTTTGGGGCTCCAGCATGCAAACATCAGTATTTGGGGTCTGGGGAGGTGGGATCTGGGCAGCACAGACCAGACAGCCCAAACCCACTTGGACCATCAGGCAGGGCCTGATCTCAAAATACAGGCTTGAGCTTGAGTGGAGCCAGATGCTTTTTGCTGAGCAGAAGCACTGCCATCTCCAAAGACACCACGGTCCTCTGTGTGACTTCTCACAGGGCAGTCTGAAGGACAAGGAAAGGAAGTGGTGTAAAAAAAAAAACAACAAACCTATTTGCTCACTCTGGTGTCTGGTCGATGCAGTTCTATCCCCAGAGTTGTCTGTCATGCTACCAGCAGGCAGGACCCAAAGGCTGCAGCTGTGTTGCATCATCACTTTTGCCTGTGGTTGTGCCTTCTTGCAGCTCTGATGTTGGTCTGCTCTTCAACAGTCTGCAGCATTTATTTACTTTTCCACTGTGCTACTCTCAGCTCTCAGTTGTGGCCTGTGGTTTGCTGTTTCTCGCTTCAGGTAAGCCTATTTCTTGGAAATTTGTCAGTGGTCTGGCTACTGGTGTGTCCAGTGTGAAGGGAACACTGCACCTCTGCTCACACACCCGTTGCTGCACTCAGATGGTTCCACTGCATTTCTCGGGATGGAACATACATCAAACAGATGAAGTTTAGGGACCTTTTGTCTTGCCTGATTCTTTCTTACTACCCCACCCCTGCTACTATCAGAGGGGCAAAACATATAGCGCAGACATGGAGATGCTTGATCCAGACCCTGCCATCCTCTTCCGATTGCTGTTTGCGCTGTGTTGCTCTCCTAGTGGTGAGACATCCAAATGGGGAGTAGGAATCTGTATGTACTCTTGCCTGCAAGCTTTTCAGCTGTTTCTGTAGCAAAACTAGCTGAGCACATCATACGCTTCCAACAGCTTGGAGAGAGGCAGGGCATTCTGTGTCCAGAGGAACTCTCACTGAAGTTATGCTCTCTGTTAGTGTGGTATTGGAAGGGTTGGAAAGCTCCTAAAGGCTTCTTTCAGTCAGCACCTGGTAATTTATCCAGACTGTGACTGTAGCTGCCTCTGGGACAGGATGCAGCAGTTGCTATTGCTGCACATCACGAGGGGACAGGCATCTGTTTGTCTTTTTGTCTGAAATGTTAAAGGCAATACAGACCTGCACATTTCAGAGACAGTGGCACAGTGGAGTGGACAGCCTTGTTACGTGTGAGTAGTGCTGGGGTCTCCTGAGGTGGACAGGGCTGGCTTATCCTTGCAGGATAAAGCTCGGTGCTGCTAGGCTTGCTCCCGAATCAGAGAGCAGCTGTGACTGTGCCAAGTCAGCAGCACAGATGCTGGTAAGACATGCGTTTCTGCTTTGTGATCCCTTCCTCAAATATCCCTCTAAACTGCTCACAGCAAATCCGCTACTTAGCTTGTGGGCTCTGACTATAGATTCCAAGTAAGATCGTGACAGGATTATGCAATTTCAAACAGCACAGAGTCGGTTCATGGCCGCTTTTGCCACAATGGCTTTAATAAAGTCATCTGTTTATCTAGCTAATGAACTGTTCATTTAGTGAAATGAGTGCCTATTGTTACCATTAAATACTTAATGAATATTTAATGCTGACATTAGGCTCTGTCAAGCTGAGAGAATTGGGATTATTCAGCCTGGAGAACAGAAGGCTCCAGGGGGACCTTAGAGCCCATTTCAGTGCTTAAAGGGGCTCCCAAAGAGCTGAAAAGGGACTTGTGACAAGGGCATGGCATGAAAGAACAAGAGGGAATGACTTTACACTGACAGGGGGCAGGGTTAGATTGGATATTAGGAAGAAATTCTTTACTATGCGGGTGGTGAGGCACTGGCACACATTGCCCAGAGAAGCTGTGGCCGCCCTATCCCTGGAAGTGTTCAAGGCCAGGTTGGATGGGGCTTGGACCAACCTGGGACAGTGGAAGGTGTCCACAGACAGCTCTTGTGGGCAGCTGAACCCTTCCCACGTGATGGCTGTGTGTTTGGATTTGCAGCTGGCCAACCCAGGGCTCTGCACAGCAACCATTTGTGCTGCTATGCAGCCGAGTGCAGTGAGGTGCTTGATAAAGATATGGCTGCTTTTGTGGTTGATGCGTATCAGATGCTGCACCCTATTTGCCTGCCTTGGTGGAGGAAAAGGGAGAGCAGGATGCCAGTGTCTTGAAAACCCTATGCAGGCTCAGTGTGTGCAGTAAAAAAGGTGGCAGAAGGGGCTGCATTATAGAAAGGACGGTATGGGTTGGGTCACTGCTGCTTCTACAGCAGAAGTGCAGTGGAAGCAAACAAAATCCTGGTCAGAGAGGAGAAATATTCCCTGGACAGCTATGACCAGCATCCCTTATCTATGTATCCTGACTCTTTACTAGTCCGTGGTTACTCATGATGGGCAGGAAGGTGACTGGTGCACAGTAAAGGTAAAGCAAAAGGAACAATTGCTGATCTCCAGCTCTTGGCTCGGAAACCTCAGAGCTTAGATGGTTAGCTGGAACTGTCACTGGTGAGAGGTGTTATGTATAACTGTTCCTGTAGCCCTCCCAGGCAGAAGAATATGAGTAAGAATGGAAGAATTGATATATCTGAAGACACTCAAATCCTGTGAGTTCAGGCAGTAACCTTCTGTTTGATCTGACAAATTCTAGTGGGTTTTTGCAGGTTGATTATTGTTTTCCTTTTTTTTTTTACCTCCTTCATTTACCTAAAGCCAGACTTGGGCTCTCTAAGTTTCTGTTACAATATCTTGTGGGGTCACATCTTCCAGCCCAAGGAGCTGTACAGACTCCAGCAAATTTTTACCAGGTTGTGAAGGAGCATTGTCTAGTGGTTAGAGAGAGGAGAAAAAGGAAGAGATGTAGACTTAGATATTGTTATTATTCTCCTAGTGGTCTGGCATGGCTATATTACTTCATGATTACAAAAGTGTAATTTTAGGCATGACTACGTGAAGTTCAACGCAAAAGAGAGCATGAGATGAGTAAAGAGAGAAGAAATTTTTCTGTAAGGTGAGGCAAGTTGCATGGGAATTTCTTGTTGATTTTAATTATTAAAAAAAAAAAAGAAGAAGAAAAGCTTGACAACTTGTTGCTGATTCATCTCTTGGTGTGATGCAGAGAGTCAAATGTTCCATTCCTTGCACATAACCTGTTACAGGAGATGTGGGACTTTATTCTGGGATGCAGGAGTTGGCTGGCAGTGATGGCAGTGGTGTCTCCTGCCAGGCAGAGCTGTGAAGACGTTGAGCTCCCCAGCCCCTGCCTGTGGTGAGACCAGCAGTGCTGCTCTAGGATCATACTGGTGGGCACTGGTCTGGCTGGTTACCCCTGCCAAGACGTGAGCAGGCACGCAGGCTTTCTGTTCTAAAGACTCACTTTTTTTGAAAATCAGCTGCTCGTTCCTCTGGATAGCAAAGAGACTAAAAGCTCTAGGTGGAATAACAAAACCCAATGTGCAACTCAGTTGCTTCCCCATTCCTCAGCACACTCTGTATTACTCAGCTCTCTCTATGGAGAATCAACTTTTCTCCCCCCTTACAAACCGTCATAGAGATTTCACATCTCTCTCTCTTTCCCCCACACTTCATAACCAGTTTCCTTCAACAATAATTGAAAAAGTCTCCTGTCCATTTTTCTTCTGTTGTTAAGTGACTCCTTCAGTCCCCCTTTGTCAGGTCATTTTTGGGGAGTGAAAGACAGCTGGTCAGCCAATTCCCTGGGACCTTCAGCTTGGAAAGCTGCACTGGCAGGGGAGTAGCTGGCCTTTTGAACCATCTGAATAACTATCAAAACTGGACTGTGTGCCCTTCTGGGCCCCGTGCTGGGGATATGCATTTCTCCTGATGTTTCTCCTCACTAAAGTGAGGTTTATGCCAACACAGAGGCAAAAGATTTCAAACAAAAAGGCATCAGAGAGGAACATTTGTGTCTACTAATAAGGTTTCTGCATGGAGAACAGGTATCCAAGATTCAGCTTTCAATAAAGTCCGGAAAGAGAAATCCAAACCATGGAAGATCAGAAAACATTTTGCTCAAAACTCCTCACAATCCGTGGAAATCCTGCTTGCTGGGCTGAGGGATGTGACTCAGGTAAGGCTGTTGATGGATAGAAGGGGATGGTAGTTTCTTAATTCAGTTTGAACCATCCTTAGGTACTGTCTCCCTGCCTTGAAGTGTTTGTCACCATATGCATTTTATTCTGCACAGGGGGATGTTTAGTGGCAAGACATGGTGTAATCCATCTGCCAGTCTGTCCATCCTCATAGTCACTGTACCTAAAGCCCTCCAAGCCTCAGATTAAACGTTTCAGAGCTGGTAGGATTGCAGTGCTGCAAGAGAAGTACCAGTGCTGTGCACAGGACCCCTGGAAAGGAGCAGAGCACCAACTGCACAGCTCCCTGCTGGCACCAGGCTCTTTGCAGTGGCTGTAGGTGGCACTGGGTACGGGGAACTTCTGCCTCCAAGTACTGACTACTCTCTCCTGTGGGACCCTACCCTGAAAGTGCTCACCAGCACTTCAGCCAAAATTGTTCTCCCCACTGCCATTGTTTGTCTTTATGCAAAGTAAGCAAAAGTCCAGCCCTATTGCTTGAAGGAGACTGGCGGGTACACTGAGGGGATGAAGTAAAAGAACATGGGAATATGGTAGCAGACAACTTCTAGGCTGCCACGCTCCAGATTGCTGTTTGGGAGTGTTGGAGCTGAATGCAGAGCATACCAGCAGCCAGACAAGCCCCACTGAATTCTTCGAAAAAAAAATCTAAAATTGGCATTTGGTTAAGCAGCGCTTTCATTTCTCTGTGTCTCAGCTCATTGCCTGTAAACCCTGCCTAGCACCCAACCTTATAGGACACCAAAGGAAAACCTGCTGATTTCACACAGTGCTCGTGGTGGGGTTATGACCAGCATCGAAAGCGGGTATGGAAATGGTGACAGTGATGAGCCTCTCCTCTCCACCAGCCCACAGCCAGGTCCAATCAGCACACAGAGCCCTCTGGAGAGAGAAAAAAATGTTATATGAAAGAAGGAGATGGTTTAGAGAAAAGAAATTCATGTTCATTGTCTTAAACGATTGACTCTCTAGGAACTTTACTTAGCAAGTGTTGTTTCTTTGTATAGCCTTCTTTGGAATTTTGACCTTTTTTGGTGACCAAATTGCTCTCTTTTTTTTTCTCGCAACTGTTTTCTAGTGGTTTGTACCCTCTATAAGTCTGTTACCACTGTTGAACGCTTTGCTTTTGCATTTAGGGTGTGAAAACCCTCTTGCAGAACCACTGAATCACCTATTAACAGAATGCATCACGCAATTGGTTTGGAAATTCACTCTTTCTTTAACTGCTTTTTAATCATCTCATTCTTTTCTTCCGATTTCCTCCGTGGAAAAAAAAAAAAAGGAAAAGAGGAAAAAAAAGCTATACCCCCCCACTCCCACCCAGACCTACTTTTTAAAAGTGTTGTGCTATTTCCTGTGGTCTTGAAGAGCACATTGAACACAAAAATGCGAACCTGAAGTACCTCTGTGCTCTCTTGTTGACGTAAAAGGCAGCAGGTAGGCAGAGAAGCTCCATGCTGCCTCCCAGGAAACCCTCAGCCTTGCACGGAGCTGCTGGGTCAGCTGGGTAGTAAGTCTGTCAGGAATTCCTCCTTTTCCGTGCTACTGCATGGTCTCCAAAGTCCCTGCCAGGGCTGTAAACATATTCTTGCCAGACATGCAGACAGAAATGTTTTTTTCCCCTCTCAGCACCCCTGTGTGCTGAACAGGGCCAGTGGCTTACGTGCCTCTCTGGGGCAAGCAGGGCTGAGCCATGTGTGATGTACTCAGGCTCTCACCTGGAATATGCTGTAGAAGTGATACTTGCTGGATGGATACGCACATTTCAGTGCTTGAAATTTAAATAATACTGGGTACCTGTGGTGGGCTGACCCCAACCAGCTCCCCAGTGGCCACCCAGCCACTCTCACTCCCCCTCCTCAGCAGCACAGAGGGGAGAAAATAAGTTGGAAAGGCTCATGGTTGAACAAATACAGCTAGATGAATTACCAGTTACCCTCACCACCAAAACAGACTCAGTTTGAGGAAACTAATTTATTGCCAGTTGAAAGAGATTTGGATGGTGAGAAACAAAGACAAAGCAACATCTTTCACACACCTCCACCCTGTTTTTTTCCCTTTATGCCTTCATTTCCAGCTCCTCTAGCTGTGCAGGGACAGCGAATGACTCGTGACTGAGGCGTTAGAAATGGCTGTGTGTTAGAGATGTGTGGGAAGTGGAGGTCATTAATAATTAATAAGTACTATCTGTGTCTGTAGGCAGCTATTTTTACCCCTTAAATAGAGCAAGCCTACACGTAATACAACCTCCAACCAGCCAGGGAGCAGGTAAAGCTGCCAGCACTTTAGGCAGCACCCTTGAAACGTGTTGTGTTTACATTTGTAGGGAAACCGAATGTAATTGTATTGTAGTTGATATAATGCTTTTATTTCCAATGTTAGCTAGTTCCCTAATATCAAGCTTAAAACCTGAAGGGCTGGAGGACTCCCATGGGGAACATCTGTTTGTTTTGTGGGTCTGGCTGGAGCTACCTGAGCTGCTGGAGATACACTGGCCCCAGTCCTTGCGTGTGTGTTGGGGAAAGGATGGTGGTCTGAAGTCTGTTAAAAATTAAATTGACTGGCTAGTGGCTGGAAAGCCTGAATAGAAACTAAGAAATGCCTCTTTTTAGTGAGACAACTCAGAGCAAGGAGGGAGAATAAAAGAGAGGTAAAACAGGTTTCTCTGCAGTGCTTGGTCCTTGCAGCCTGACCTTGCTTCCAGCTACCGACACATTCTTGCTGCCACAGAGAAGTCTCTGTCACCCTCAAGGCTGCCCTTGGCTCACACCAAGATCCCCCTAGGACTCATTCCCTGCCCTCCCCACGAAGTCTGGCAATGTCTGCAAGATTTCTGGACCTGGCAGAGAAGTGACTTGGTGAGCAGCCAGGAAATGTGTTTGGGAGGGAGGTTAGGACACAGAGGTGCCACAGTAAGTGCTGGGGAGTGGGAAATGCCCTGAATGCCTTGCTTGAGACTGGAGCTGGGTAGGGATGAGAATAAGGGCTGACAGAAGGGTGGAGCTATATTAGAGCCCTTCAAACTCTGCTTGGATGAGCAAAGAGTGCATCCTTTCACTTCATAAGGACATTAGATTCACAGATATGGTGTCCTTTGTCTCAGAACCTGGTATTTTGGGGACATTGGTCTGAACTGACTCCCAGTGTGCAGTTTGTGATGGTGTGAGTACATTTTCAACTGAAGGGAAGCAGAGCAAAGGTGTGGCCACACACATTAACCCTGCAGAAAAAGAGGAAGCTGAAACAAGGGGCTGGAGCCAGGGACTTTGGAGAGGACTAGGATTTGGATGGTCTCCATGCTCAGTGAAGCCACAGGTCCACTGACGTGTACTTTGGTGGCACAAGGAAAGCTGCACGACAGGTCCTGGCTGTAGGTAGGGCAGCTCCAGGGTTCAGCTCCCTGGCACATGCACCACTAACACTCAGACAAGCTGGTGTCCTGCCTGTGTTCCTTGGCTCTGCCACACGGTGCTGCCAGGAGAACTTGTGGTTTGTGACATCAGCACCCCCACCTGCCCGGGCAGTGCAGCACTGTGAGACAGCAGTGTTCCAAAACAGCCTGGAGACAGCGAGCCCCACAAGTGAATCATAAACACTTGCATTCTGCAGATGACTCTTCCACTGGGACGGGTGAGTCACAGCCGTGGTGGTGAGGGCTTGGGGGTAGACCGGGTCTGTCCTTCCACGAAGGGTGGTGGAGCCTTCCCTGTCCCAAGAGCTCTGGCACCACCATGGCCTGTGCTGAGCTGAGGACCTTTTGAAAGCTCCTTCCATCCCACTGCTGAGAAAGGTGCCCACTCGATCCCGCAGCAGTGCCTATTCCCTGTGACCAGGTGAATGCTTGGGATGGTGCTGAGGGTATCCAGCAGTGCTGTCTGGCACCCATGGACTGGGTTCTCTCCATGGTGCTGCAGGCCAATGTATCCCCTGCTCTGGAGAGGTCCCATGTCTCCTGCAGGGCCGTGTTGACCGCCTGTGCTGCCCTCCCAGCCGTGGGGGAGGTGATGCTCAGACTTTCCTTGATGCTTGGTGGTGGCGAGGGCAGCAAGCGCTGCTGATCTAAACTGTGACAAGACCTTCCTTCTTCCCTGAAGTTGCTGGGTTCAGCCTTGGGTGGTTTGTGAGTGCCTGGGAGCCTGAAGAGGGACAGTACTAGTGCCTGGCTGGCTGGCAGGCTTGCCATGGGTTAATCTTAATCCCAGAAATGGGATTAATGTCCCCGTGGCTGGGACAGAGAGGTCATGGCTTGTGGCTACAGGATGAGGCCTTTGCAAGATGGCATGTTCTCTCCAAAGCTTGCAACCTCCCTTGGAGAGCCCTGAGCTCAGGAAGACAGTCTTAGGAAGAGGTTCTGGCTCCTCATGGGCCAGGACCTCAGTGACTGGGAACTACAGTGTGGGCTGACATATGCCAGTACCCAGCTCTACTTGTCAGCCCTGCCTGGCACAGCAGACTGGACAGGAATCCTCCAGAGAGCCTTTCCCACCTTCTTATCCTATGACTCGACACCAGGTCCCAGCCCAGCCCCAAGCCAGAATTGTCCTTTCTCTGTGCACTGTTGCTGCACTCAGGGTGATATTCTCACGCAGGGAAACCCTCCTCCAGCATCCAGGGAGGAGGAGAGGATGTGCAGGAGGAGATGAACAGCTCCCCCCCATTCCAGACACCTTTGAGGTGACAGGCTTGTTCCACCCGTAGGTGCTCAGGGTGGGCTGACCCCCGTGACGCCTCTCTGCCACCTGGAAGGGAGCAGATCAGCAGCAACTGTGACAAACAGCTCGGGGCTTATTAGAACATCAGATACAAACAGAAAATGTTTCTTCTTTATTTTGTGGAGAGAGCTACAGGAAATCAAGCCACCTTGGGCAGGAAGTGGAGGTTACCGAGAACAGGGACAGGACAGCTGGGGGGTTTGTGTGCTTCTGGAGGTGGTCTTGAGCCACTGCTGTTCCACCTTAATTTCCTGATAGGGTCTTAGGAGCTTCAAAGGGCTTTGGTGAGGGGGAGCAGGGATGTCACGTCTGTAGCCTGAGAGACAGTCTGCTTTGCTGTGCATCCTGCGCCTCCCAGCCATGGCTGGATGAGCACTGTCAGGAAACAGCTCTGCAGGGAATGGGCTTAAGTCAGGACAGCTTATGAACTGTGATGAAATATTTGGAGGTCTTGAAGGCTATGGCAGGGAAGTTTAAAGGGTACAATTGAAATGAACACCCTGCTTTACACATGCAGATCTGCAGACTTGTTGATATGTGACTTCTGGATGCAGGTATCAGGTATAACCATATCAAAGTGGTTTGTGGCAAAATCATACCTGGATTGCTTTAGAATGTTAAGTGGGGAGCTGAATTCAGAGTAATCTTAAAAGTAAAATCCCCAGGAGACTCCAAAGTAGATTAAGATCCTAATAAGTTAAAAAATGTTAGAGGTGGCTATTGCCAGTATTGTGTTAATGAGACTATTCACCAACTAGGCACAGTAATGTTACTTCCAGCTGTATCCCTGAAGAGCTTTAGACAAATAAGGTGTTATTGAATCTCTTTGGGACTGGAGCTTTCCCAGTTCTTTTGAAGATTTGTCACATGGTTCTCTTGGGACCATTGTGGGCTGACTGTGAGATGAAGTGTTTCAAATTGAAAGTTTTAGGTTGGCTCATCAGCAAAATGCTTGGTTTTTATGTGAAAGCAAAGGGCCTGAGTGTACAGAAGAGAAATCCTTTCATATCTGGATATAGTTTGCAGCCTTCCATTGTTCTTCCTCTGCCATTGGTAACCTGTTTAACCGAGACATCCTTACCAAGAGATGGTACACTACTGTCTTCGTGGCTCAGCATGCAAAAGGTCTTGAACAAAGTCAGACATTTGTAACAAAATTGTCTTAGGCTTGGAAAAGACTAAATTATTTGGGTAAGCAGGACTTGCTGGGGAAAGTGGAAAGAAGTGAGAAGAGTGTATTGGGTTCACATAGTAAGGTTTTGGTAGCGGGGAGGCTACAGGGGTAGTTGCTGTGAGAAGATGCCAGAAGCTCCCCTTATCTCCGATATAGCCGATGCCAGCTGGCTCCCAGATGGACCCACCGCTGGCCAAAGCTGAGCCCAGCAGTGACACTGTAGTGCCTCTGGGACAATGCATTTCAGAAGGGGAAAAACCTGCACCCTGGCAGCAGCAGAAGACAGGAGTGAGGTTTATGTGAGAAACACAGCTCTGCAGGCACCAAACTTGGTGAAGAAGGGAGGGGAGGAGGTGCTCCAGGTGCTGGAGCAGAGTGCAGACCATGGTGACTCAGGCTGTTCCCCTGCAGCTTGTGGAGGTCCAGGAGGGAGCAGATACCCACCTGCAGCTCATGGAGGACTCTGTGCTGGGGCAGGTGGAAGCCCAAAGAAGGCTGTGACCCAGTAGGAGTTACCTTCACTGGAGCAAGCTCCTGGCAGGAGAGTGGAGTTTTTCACATAAAAACTGAGCACTTTGCTGATGAGCCAACATAAAACTTTCAATTTGATACACTTCATCTCACAGACCAGTGGAGAGAGGAGCTCCTGCTGGAACTGGTTTGCTGGCAGGATTTGTGACCCTGTGGGAGCAGTCTGTTCCTGAAGGACTACACCCTGGGGAAGGGACCAGTGATGGAGTAGTTTGTGAAGAACTGCAGCCTATGGGAAGGACTCATGTTAGAGAAACTTGTGGAGGACTGTCTCCCATGGGAGGGACCTCATGCTGGAGCAGGGGAAGCATGTGAGGAGTCCAGCTCCTGAGGAGGAAGAAGCAGCAGAGACAATGTTTGATGAATTGAGCACAACACCCATTCCCTTTGTCCCTATGCTGCTGGGGGGAGGAGGTAAAGCATTCAGGAAATTTGAATTTGTATGATACAAAACCACTTTCTGGGATGGAGTGACCCTGGAGAAGCCTCTAGGATTGTTCTGGGCACCTCCTTGTGGCTCACCCATGGCAGGTAGCAGGAAAGTCTTTGAGCTGGAATAGACAGAGGAGCAGAGACCAAAGGCAGAAGTGGGTGTCTTTCATCTCTCCTACTCCTTAGTCAACTTTTGCAGTATTTGCCTTGTAGTGAGAACGCAGCTTAGTGTTGAAGTGTCAAAAACTACCATTCTTGGGGAAAAATATAGAAAGGTTTTACACTTAATAGAGAAAGGCCCGAGACTCAGTGGTGAAAAACAAGCTAATCTGGGTGAAAACTGATACACCTGGTGATTAGTTAGCCTGAGAGTTTCTGGTTTGTGGCATCTTCCACACCTGTGTGGAGAGCAAGGCACAGCAAATGTTAATTGTCCTAATTGGGCAAATTACTTAAAGCAGGGTAAAGGAAGCAGGGGTTGGTTCAGTTGTGCTGTGCTGGCTGGCAGGTAAGGCTTTTTGCTTTTCTGCCTTTGTGCTTTAAATTCTGCAGCTTAATGTTCCTGTTTGGGCCTAGAGCGTTTTATGGACTTGGATTTTGCTGTGTGTGTTTGAAACTGGTCTGGCTTTGTGCTAATTCATCTCTGGTTACTGAGAAAGTGCATCAAAAGGAGGCTTGGATTCTTAATAATTCACCAAACATCTGTTTCTGGATAGTGCTAGAGGGTGGACAAAGGCTGTGGGAACCTTTTGTCTGACCCAGGAGCTGGTGGTGTGCTGTGTGGTTACCACATTTTCAGTGTAATTGCTTGGAATGACGTCTCTGGTGGTTCTTTGGGACAGCTGGTGATACAGAGGCTGGACAAATTGTGAAGGCAGCAAAATCCTATTCTAAAAGAAATGTTCTGTTTCCCTTCTGTGTCACTGATACCTGGTCTGCAGAGGGATTGGTGCACCTTGGCTCTTAAAATCTCAAGTCTTGCCTGTGCTGCCAGGCTGCAAAAATGGTGAAAGCTGTGCCCCTGTGACTTGGCTACTGTGCAGCTCCATATCACCCTATTTGCAGGCCTTTGGACAGCAAGACCTTCAGGACTGCAGTCACAAAGATATTCTTCTGTGGTTGTAAAGCAAAATGTGAACTTTAAGTCTCGCATGAGAGCGAGTGAGACTGTACTAACCAGCAGTCACACAGGGATCAAACAGTGTTTACAGGAAAGGAAGCCACCTAAGAAATCACTCTTGACGATTTTACCTGATGATCTGTGCTCCCTCTCTGCACCTCTGAGCACTGGCTCTCCCTCAGGCAGCTGCCTGACATTTAAGGGCCGAACTGACTAAACAGGTACGTGCGGGGCTGTGCCCCAACGCAGGCACTTCAACTGGAGTGTTCCCAGCTTTTCTGCCATGAACCCCCTGGAGCAGAAGGGGATACTCTGGACTGGAGCGGAGCAACTGCAGGTGCTGGATGGAGCTGGCTGTGGATTCTGCAATGTGAGGTAAGGGGGAAGAGGGACTCTGCAGCTGTGCGGTGTGGAGGGGCTCCTGCTCCAGGGTGGGGTTGGATGCTGTGCCTGCTGTGGTTTGAGTCTTAGAGAGGTGTTGGGGGACATTTCTACGCAGTTTGTCTCAATCTCCCTCAGCGCTGTTTCATCAGAAGCAGCGTAGTAGAAGTGCTTCCCCTCTGAAAGCTGATCTGGTGAGATAAGGTACCAGGTAGGCATTTCCATTAGACATGAAAGAAAATAACCCTTTTTCCACCACCACCATGCTGGTTTTGTGCCC